CGTTCATTGATATTGCGCCTTATAAGCCTGTGCGCCTTATAGTTAGAAAAATACGGTAGTTTGTTGTAATTCCACAATATTTCTCAAGGCTAGCAACAAGCTGGTTTTGTTTACGAGAGTGCCGGTTTGAAACTACATTCTGCACTGATTTTTATCAAGAAAAACAGTCCTATATCTATTAAAGCTTAATCCCCAAGCTTCCCAATTATGACCAGAAATTATGCGAAGGGATTTCTTTGTGCTACAAGCGGACAGAGAATATTTGTCAATTTCAAAGGAAGTTAAAAGGATTTTTTTTTCTAAAGACATATCTGTCAGAAAACTGAAATTAAAAGGTAGGAACACTTTGTTTAGTTACTGAGATTGCTAGATGTTGGGAAAAGGCAATGTTTTCTTGTTTTCTTGCAATGCAACCTGAGCTCATTCCGACCCATTTTGCCTGTAGAGTTTAGAGATCAGTCTGGGTGAAGTCACGCAACAAGTAAGATATTAATTGTACATAATGTTTCCACAGAACCTCAAATTGACCACTTCCTTTTAATAAACATCACAAGTATAAGTGCACAAACGCACATTCTATACGATTTGTATGGATAGTTAAAGGTTAATCCTGTACTCTCCCACTTTATCTCCAGTACAGAAACTGCTTTCTGATTAGAATGTGAGATTAAATGACACGAAAACACGTTATTTTAATCTCAAACTGGTCTTTATACAGTAGTTCAAAAATTGAACACACAAAAAGGCACATAATAGTTTTGTCACACCCAAACTAAATAATGCGACACAAACTCCTCATTTGTCATTCCTGAAAAGAAGCTATTGGTTTCACCTCAGTTCTCAGAAACCTCTTGTCTTGGCTTGTCACACAGGTTGTATACAGCTGTGGCTTCAGAAAACAGCCTTTTTCCTGAAACTCATTAGGCAGCTCTGATTGTTGGAGAGTTGCTTATAAGTCCTGGTTTTTATACATAAAATGAGTAAAAACAAGCTCCTTGTTTTCACTGTAAACCGATCGTCCAACAGGAAAAAAGATCCTAAATTACAGCGATTCAAATAACAAAAAAAAAGTGGGCTGAGTAGAGCCTGTTGTGCTAAATCCTTCTCCAGAAAACCCCGAGGCTCGTAAACAGCCTCTGTAGGCTTGTGGGAAATTCTTTGGGGAGAAAAAAAAAAGTTTTATGTTGTAATCCTGCTTTAAATCAGAGTTCCAGCTGTCAGCGTGCCCGCCCTAAAAGCCTGTATGGCAAGATACTAAATCTCGTGATTTGTTATGGAAATCTTGATATTTTAGACCCATTTAGTTTCACGAAGAAAACAAATAAAGCAGTCTCTTTTATATAGTAATATGGTTTTATAAAAGTGATCTCTGATTCATACTGTCAGCTGATATCACACCCTTCCCATAAAGCTATAACCAGCGTGTTGCTAACTCGCTGCAAAGCCGAAGTTGCACCGTGTACCTGCAGCTGAATCCATGTGATCAAAACAAAAGGCCTTGGCAGGACACAGAATACAACATTTAAGATCCACACATGTTTACACTTTATTCCAAACAAATACTGGGATTATTTTAAAAGAAAATGTAATGTTTCACCAACTTTACGTGGATTTTTTTAATGATAATTCCATGTAATAACAAAACAAGTGCAGTTTAGGTTGTAAAGATGCTACACAATGACACAAAACTTATACATGAATGAAATTATAAGTATTGTTATAGAAGTATTTCAGATGTTTTGAAATATTGTTGTTAAAATATTATTAACAAATAACGTCTTACCTGTTGTAGATAGCTTCTTCAATGACCTCAGTTGGAGAAGGTTATTTCTGACTGGATCAACAAGCTAAAGGCTAGCTTCAGCTACTGTTTTAAAACTGCTCCCATTTCAAACTATTCTTATCAGCTCCCACATACATGTTTATAGCCTTTTACACCTATGCTACTTTGACATTTCACAGTTACTGTGGACTTTACATAAAGATATTCCTGGGTCAAAATTTACCTGCATGTGTGGTAAATGGTAGGAAGCGTGGTGTGAATTTTTTTCTCTGATTTAAATAATTTTATTTATAAAGAATCTCATGAAGTCATCACTGCTTATAGTTGTAGGGATACATGGTTCAACAGAGATATGACTTTTCATTAATCTAGCTATAGTACTGCGCAGAAATTATTTTTATTCTCATCTATTAAAAATGAACAATATACAGTTCTAGCTTTACGGAGAGCTTTCTTATATGTTAGCAGTCTATCTCTCCAAGTTAAATAAAATTCTTCCACGTTAGTGGAGCGCCGTTTTCTTTCCAGCTTTCTAGATGCCTCTTTGTTTTTGGTGTCCTCGGGCTGTTTCTGTGAGTAGCAAGTTGGCCATCTGACCTAAAGCATTTGATCGTTATATATGATGATTGGTTGTTTTGGACAGGTGGGCCTTTTTTGCCTACTTTTGAGATTCCTCAGGAGGTTGGCTTGAAACACAGCAGTGAAGGCTACCTATGGGACAGATCTGATATGCAAACCGCAGGCTGATGAAGTCTTCTGGATAGGAGATGAAATGTTTCTCACTTAAAGGAACTGGTCCAGATGACATGATTTAACCTTTTTTGTTGTTTCCAGCATATGCCTTCGATTTTAGCTCCGATTGGATTCTGTACATTTTAGAGGACAAGGTAAAAACATTTGGATGGATCTTTCTGGATGTAGTTGTAGGAAAGGGAATGGGAGGGAAATGCTTAGTTATGTAGGCGGTTCTTGCCAAAGGAATACCCAAATCCCTAGTGCTACCATTTATCCATTAAAACGAAGCATTGTTAATAGATTAACAGTGATTTTTTTTTATCACTTACTCATGGTTCTATGCTTGTATTGGTGTATTTAACACAACCTGTTTTGCATCTGTCCACACAGGTATGGACGGAGACCCAGATCTTCAGTTCCTGTTGACCGGTGGGAAGCTGATGAAGGTTCGCTCAAACAAGTGGCAGAAGGAGCGCATCTATAAACTGCAGGAAGACTGTCAAACCATATGGCAGGAGTCTAAGAAAACAATAAAACAAGACCAGACCTGTAAGTATTGTCTCTTTTTGTAAGTTGATACACAAAAATCAACTCTTTCCATTTTGCTCTATAATCTTTGGCTTCTCTCAGTCCTTTTCTATTGTTGCATCAGCATAGGTCCTGTTAGATCTAATCAGTTGCCTTTGGTAGGATGGAAACACCCACACATATACTGCAGTGTGGACTGGAAAATGTTAGTGCATATCCTGACTGTATGTTTGTGCATGGGAGAGATTATTGTCCTTTGATTTCTGGTTCAGTGATCTGCAGTAAGGGTGTGAATGGACATCGTCCTCTGGGTCTTTGGTGGCTCAGGTTTCCCTCCCATCTCAGCAGCAGCTAAAGCTATCAGAGCTGATAACCTCTGCCCCAGGCCTAGTCGTGAACAAACACAGACAAGCTGTTTCAGAGATGTACACATGCTTTTTCTTATTTATCGAAAGTTGCTGCATGTCTTTTTTTTTTCCTTTCCTGTAAGCCCAAAACTGCTCAGTGGGGGGCAATTGGTTTTGTTTTTAACCACTTTAAAAAAAAAAGATGGTTAGAGTACATGTGGTGCATACTGTACCGAAAAGAGGAATTTGTCAGTCTATACACCACAAAGAGAAATCTACTTTTATTTTCATGCTTATCCAGCCTGTAGTGATAGATTACTGTTTAATACTGACTCTATTTTTTTTTCTTGAATCAAGGATTATCTGAACAGTTTTTTTACAGTTTAAAATAATTTAAATTTGAGGGGTTGTGTCAGTGTGTTACTAATGTTTTCCTCTGGGCTATAGTACTAAAAACTTTTTTTACACCTTCTTTTGAGCACTATAAACTACTCACAGCTAAAAAAAATGTTTTGCAAGTTAAACAATATTCCCATGAAGAACTTTTCTGTTTTAAAAAAGTTATATATGTATTTAAACACTAACTGCTTAGGATTTAATCTTTGGTTATTCCTATTTAAATGTAGATTTTAGCATATATTGTTTTATCAAACAAGCTCTGGAGTGCATGTAAACCCAACAAATATTGAATTAGAGCTGGTCTAGGTCATAGTTTTGGACCATTAATCTCCTTAAAAACCTTATTCAGATCTTAGAAGCTAAATAAAGATTGTTAGATCTAAACATGAGAAATGAAGTATTTATTATGCAATACAGTATTATGTGTGCAATGTAGTAAAACTGTAACTACTGTTTCGGCTTTTTTCTACTCAGTAGAAGTTTAACCTTTCGGGTTTTAAGTTTGCTGGATGTTGGTGTTTCCTTCATTTCAGACATACTCGTGTTATGAAAGTTGGATGCCAAGAAGCTGATTGTTCCACAGCAAAGATGACAAGATAATGCCTCTTTAAATCCTCACAACCTCATGCAACTCTTAGTCAGCTCTTTGCAACATTTGGGGAACGGTGAGGCGACTGAGAATCAGATCAAAGTTTGACACCAATTACTGCGCTCATAATTAAATTGATTATAAGCCTGAGTCTTCAACTCTTCTGGTTTCTTTTCTCATTTAGTTTGTTATATTTCCCTCTTACACTTTTGGATTGCACTGTAGCTGAAGCTAAATGTTCACTTAAAGTAACATTTATACACAACTAACCTGCTAACAGTTGAATCTATATTTATTCCCTTTAAAGAAAATAGTTGGAGAGACAAACCATGAACGTCCTCGTGAAAATTGGAAACAAGATTTCAGTTACTATGAAAGATCTTTAACCCAAGTTTGATGTGATTGGCCTTTCGCTAGAAGGACGTTTGTTGTCGCTCATTGTGAATGCATCATGAGCATCTGAGCATGCCTTTCTGAACATTAAGCCACTCAACAAAAGAGCTGGGCCCCAGTGAATGGGCTGAAAAAAGGCCGAGACCTTTAGTATACGTTGTCTGAATCAGTAGGGGGTGTTTCCCTCTGTTATGAACCCCTGTGTGCCTGAATGTAAGGAAACACAAGAGAGTGCATCACTAGCACTGCATTGCCTATTTCTCACCTTCTCTAGACCTCTAGATTTTTAAAGACCACTCACCATGTTCTGGTGGTCTCGTTAGATTTAAGTGCTGTAATACAATCCATCTAAATATTCTGTTTTGTAGCGTTGAACATACCATTCAAGATAAAGAATCAGGTCATATTTATCTCACATATTACTGTTTGTTATAAATGGAGCATTCTTCCACAGCAAAATTAGTCAAGGAGTTCCACAAGGTTTTGTTCTTGGACCAATGTCTTTCTCTTTTAAGCCTGCTTCATTTAGCTCAATCCTTAATGTCTGTTATTATCAAAATTGTTTGTTTTTTCTGCTTCTAAAATATGATAACACAGAGGTTGTTGTCTTTGTACCTCAACATTTTAGAAACTACAGTAGCTGCACTGCGTGCGTGACAGTACTGTTGCACTATTTTGATACATTTTTAATCAGAGGGTCCTTTTTTATTGTACAATATAAAAAGACTATGAGCATAAAGTCTCAGAATGATGCAGAAAAACTAGTTAGTCATTTCTTCTAAGCTAGGACATTGTTGTTTTTGTTTGTTTGTTTGTTTGTTTTGGGGGGGGGGGTTGCATTCTTCTCAAGTCTAATTCTCCTGACTTATATTTGAGACATTGTTAAAACCAAACGGAACATTTTGTTTTTAAATAACCGTAGACATATTTTTACAACTTTAAAAAGAGATTTTTATAAATATAAAGGAAGGTTTTGTGTCAAGCCAAATGCCCGTTGTTGTTCACTGTCACCCCTATTATCAGTATTGCGGTTGTTTCCACCAACTAAACCATGAAGAGAAGCGGATGTACTGGCCCTAAATAAAGCAACATAAGGTGCTTCAAAATTAAATTAAATCAGAATTTTGATCTTCATTCTTGTTTTCTGAAAGTGAAAAACTCTTAGCTGTTTGCCAACAAAACCTTTCACTTGATCCCGGTTTGACAAAAAGCTTTAGAGTTGTGTTTTTAAGACTTAGAGTAAACGCCACAAAAGTGGACTACTACACAAAAGCAAAAGCCTTCTTGTTAGTATCTTACCAAGCTGACATGGTATAAAACAATTGTTTGTTGTAATCTCTAAGAAGGATAGTCTGGTGCTACAAGATACTGACATGAATGAGGAAGAACTGGGCATCAACTGATAACAATGACTCATTTTTCCACTCTGGGACTCACATGAGACTGCTTATCTTATCACGTTAATCCTGAAATACAAAATAAGCACGGTAATCAATGTTTGACACAAATATAAGTGGTCTTGGATGCAGTTTTATTTACATATTACACATTTTAATCCCTAAAACAATGTGGTGTTTGTGTTTTACATAGGAACAACATCGATTTTGGTGTTTTTTGCATCTAAAACATTCATTACATGGAAGTCAAAGAAATATTTGCTTTGGCCTCTTTGCCAGCTGTTATTAAACCCAGTCATTTAGACGTCTGTAACAAGTCTGATCTCTCCAAACAGTCCTCATCGATGACATCGAATCAGTGCGTAAAGGCCGTCGCTCCGAGGGGCTGAAAAAGTACACCGACCCCGCTTTTGAAGACAAGTGCTTCGCTATCATCTTTAAAGGACACAAGAAAAATCTCGACTTGATGGCATCTTCCAAAGAAGAAGCAGATCAGTGGGTCACCAGCTTGGAGAAGATCATGAACAACATTCGCAACCTCAACCACAAGCAGAAGAGTGAACAGTATCCTTAAAGCAGCCTTTAAATGAGGTGTGCTGGCTGCACTTTGTTTCTTCCGAGTTTTACTTCTCTTTTATGTAATTTAAACCCTTACATCTGAATGCCAGTTGGATCATCAATTGCATGCGGAAAGCAGACAAGAACAAGGACAACAAGATGACACTAAAGGAGTTGAAGCACTTCCTGCGGCAGGTCAACGTTGAGGTTGACGACGACTACGCTGAGGATATTTTCAAGGTGAGCTGCTGACACACGGGTCCTCATCAAAACCCCCAAAATAACCAATTTGCTATTTATTTGATTGTTAAAAATGTCCAGTTTGCTTGAATGCTTTGTTGTGTTTGCACAGAAATGCACCAAGACAAATGCAGGTTACTTGGAGGGCGACGAGATAAAGCATTACTACAACCTGCTAACACAACGTGAGGAGATAGATGTGATATTTACAAATTATGCTAAATCAGATGGTCAGATGAGCCTCAACGACTTCATGAAATTCCTGCTGAACGAGCAGCGGGAGCAGGTGTCTGCAGAGGGCACCCTCAAGCTGATTGAGAAATATGAGGTGGATGAAACAGGTAGGGTTTAATTCACAACTTCATTTTTCAGGCTACGAGGTTTCAGCCTTCTCCAGGTATTCATCATGTGTCCTCCTTCTGGTCCTCCTAAAAGCAAAGCAGCAGAAGCGCATGACCAAAGACGGCTTCCTGATGTACCTGCAAAACGAGGATGGATCCATCTTTAACCCAGCTCACAAAAATTTATATCAGGACATGAGTCAGCCCCTGAACCATTACTTTATCTCCTCCTCACACAACACCTACCTGATGGATGACCAACTCAAAGGGCCAAGCAGCACAGAAGCTTATATAAAGTAAGTATTTATACTTTGTACATGTTGATGAATAAAATTAAGTATATATAAATATACATATATATATATATATATTCCCTCACTACTTCGCGGTTCGTTTTTCACGGACTCGCTACTTTGCGGTTTTTCAAAGTAAAATTGGACACGAGACACAATGGCTGATTGATGGATGAGCTGCAAATTTTGCATGGATTTTTTTATTTAAAATAATTTTTTTGAAATGATTTAGCACCTGTGTGCAGCCCACAGCTGTGGGAGAAGCTTCCTCCTGCAGCTGATCAGCTGATCTCATGCAGAGTGGGGAAGTGAGCGTGACCGAGAGTGCAGCCGGAGGCAGAGAGCTGAAATCATGACATTCTGTGCTCTTCTAGAGCGTTTAGAGTACAGCACCATTGTTTACAATATTGCAAGAGTGTGAGAAGGGTTTAAAATGCCTTTATACATACATACATACATGTGTGTATATACTTACAGTACCAGCACCTTTTAAACGTTCTGGTTATTGTTTTATGTACTTGTGAACTACAAAACTACTTGTTTAAACTTTTAAACTACTTTTTTTATAAGTACTATATAAAGTATTAGTATAATTTCTATTACTATTATTATTATTATTATTATTATTATTATTAATTATAAGTATTAGTTAATTTTAGGTTTAAAATTCCACCAAAAAAAACCAGCAAGCCCATCCATCCATTATCTTTTACCTGCTTCTTCCATTTTGGGTCACGGGGGGTCGTCGGTGCCCATGTCCAGCAATCACTGTGCGAGGGGCGGGGTACACCCTGGACGGGTCGCAAGACCATCACAGGGTCACATAGAGACAAACAACCATTCACTCTCTCACACCTAGGGACAATTCAGAGTTACCAATCAGTCTAGCATGTACAGTATGTTTTTGGTCTGTGGGAGGAAACCCACGCATGCACAGAGAGAACATGCAAACTCCACCCAGAAAGGCCCCCAGACCAGGATTTGAACCAGGGACCCGCTCGCTGAGAGGCAGCAGCTCTACCAGTTGCGCCACCGTGCTGCCCAACCAGCACATCATAATACACATTTTAAAATAAGAATTTATTGCCAGTTGGATGGTTTTATGAAGATGGAACTGGTCTGTCAACTTGTGTTAGTTCAACAGTTCTTGGGTTTGTAATGTGTCATTTTCACAGGAGATAGTTGGCTGTTTCAAACGAGCCACACCTTTGTGCATGCTCCAACAGCACATTTGGCATCTGCATCGTTTTTTTATGAACGTTTTCATTCATGCAGAAAACTAATGCGGTTCCCAAACTTTTCAGTTTATGGTCCACTGTAAAAAAAAATCAGATTTATCTTTTTTAATAACTACTTTATAGCGATTTTAGCAACCATTCGTTCAATGATATTTTGGTTTACGTAGATCATCTCACGACTTGCTGTTTCACAGCTCATAGAATGGTCTCTCGCTAAATTTTAGGAACCACATTTTTGTTTAGCAGATTTTTCATAACTAATTCAAGGCATGATTGTTGTTTTGTACAAGAACAAACTTTGATACCACATTACAGTAAGGATACATTTTGAAATGACTGTTAAATAGATAATAATACAGATATATCTCAGCTGTAAACACACAATAAACCAATAATAAGTAGTTATAATGCATTCAATTAAAAAGACAATATTAACTGTTTTCTTGCCATCCAGTGAGCCAATATTTATGAGTTCTCTCCATTTTCATTGTTCACCTGTCTTTTTCATTATTTAGAAACACTTTTCTCTAAGTCATCACTTTGCTAGGGGTTCCTGAATTAGAAAAAGGCAGTTATTTTACCCACTTGCTCTGAAACGTGATGGTCACAATGGTTCTTGTCTCCTTGCAGAGCGCTGATGAAGAGTTGTCGCTGTGTGGAGCTGGACTGTTGGGACGGACCCAACGGGGAGCCTGTTATTTACCACGGCTACACTCTCACATCAAAAATTCTCTTCAAAGATGTCATTAGAGCCGTCAAGGACTTTGCATTCAAAGTATGTGAGATATTTCATTAGCTACAAAGACACAAGTGGTTTTGAACGTCCAGTGTTGCATTTAATGTTCAATGCCATGTTTAATCGTGACAAGAGGGCCTTCTAACTGCACCTAAATGTTGTTTCCTCTGTTTCTTAGACTTCAGATTACCCGGTGATTCTGTCTCTGGAAAACCACTGTACAGTGACTCAGCAGAAACTCATGGCCCATCACTTGGTCTCCATCCTGGGGGACGCTTTGGTCACAAAGCCTCTGGGTACAAAAATGCCCACTAACTTCCCCTCACCTGAGGTTCGTGAAACTTCAATCCAGACCCTGAATCAAATCAAATCAAATCAAATCGTGTTCACTTTACCAAGCCTTGCTATGAATATCCTGTTGAATCATTACCAAAGAATGGCCATACCTTTAGCTAATTAACTGCTCTGCCAGATTTTTGACTTTCCAGTTTACTTGACTTAAATTCCACAAAAAAGAAACTGTCCAGATGACCTGATTAATCATTACTGGATTTTGTACCTGGATGATTGAGCATGAACTCTGAGGTTACTTTGAAAGGAAGCGTGTTAAGAGAACAAAGTAAAAAGCATCGTTGTGCATGAGAATAAACACAACCACTACCACAGAAAGAAAGCTTCTTATCTCAGTTTCTTTAAGAATCTTGAGTTTTGCATACAGCTAAACTAATATGTTGCATTAAGATTTGGCCAAACGTCCCAGTTGTATGTCTTCTACAACTGCAACTACAACTTCTATGTCTTTTTTTTACTTAGCCCTAATTGTTTTATTGCACATGCGTTGTTTTACATTCCTCCCTCAAGGCAAGAGTCAGTTTAAAAGTAGTGGACAAGAGCTAGTTCAGTTTCACAAAAGTTTACAGCAAAAAGTGGCACAAATAAGCAAAGTATGCTTCCACGACACATTGTAGTAGTAATCATTTCCCTTAAAAATGAAAACAAGGCACTAGTCTTGGCAGATGATGCAGTCTCCATGCAGTTTTGCAGATTACTTTGCATTTTTTTCTCGTTTTAAACCTACTTGTGTCGAAGACGTTTCTCTTCTCGTGTTTCTCTTAAAGGGACAGCAACCTACATAATCTTCTAAATAGTCTTTTATTTTAACAATGAAATGATCTTAGAAATAAATACAGGCTCACTCATAGGAGTTTTGAATAAAAACTTGTATGAACTCTTACTACTGTGAGTGGGTGGAGTGAATAAAAGCAAATTTGGAGGGCGTGAACAGCAGTTAACGACTAACACATGCTCTTCGTCATTACAGAACAAAACAAAAAAATGCTTCCCTTGCACTCTCCTGCATTTCATTTGTCATATTATTGTGCAACTTGTGTAAGTTTTCGAAATTATACAACAAAATCTAAAGGCAAAATTTGTGTGTGGGTCTGTGCAGGAGCTGAAGGGAAAGTTCCTGATCAAGGGAAAGCGACTGAACAAACTGGATGCAATCTTCTCCAACAATAATACCATAGAAGAAGACACAGTGTCTGAAGAGGACGAGGCTGAGGAGTGTAAAGAAAATGGTCAAAAGCCAAAAGCAAAGGTAACTCAAAGGGTTGTACTCATTTATGCAAAACTTATATGTTTTTTCTTAGTCGTGTTAATGTCCTGTCTTCTTTTAGAAATCAAAGATCAAACTTGCCAAAGAGCTGTCAGATGTTGTCATCTACTGTAAGAGTGTCCACTTCAACAACTTTGAACATGCCAGAGACAGCCAGGCTTTTTATGAAATGTCATCTTTCAAGGAGAGCAAAGCATTCAATCTGGCCGACACTTCAGGTAAACCTTTCATCCGACTGCCTTCAGCAAAATATCAGTCACACAACAAACATTAAGTGTTTGTTGTGCTCTTACAGCCACCGCCTTCATTCATCACAATATGGACAAACTCAGCAGGATCTACCCTGCTGGCTCAAGGACAGACTCCTCTAACTATAACCCTGTTCCCATGTGGAATGTTGGCTGCCAGATTGGTAAACTCCTTGATTAATTTATGCTGAAATACAGTCTTGGATGAAGAGTAATTGTTTCATGTACAATTCTGTTGGAATTTAGTGGCGCTGAACTTCCAGACTCCCCACAAAGAGATGCACATAAACCAGGGGCGGTTTCTGCCGAATGGTTTTTGTGGTTATATCCTGAAACCTGAATTCTTGAGAAATGTGTCCTCGCAGTTCAACCCCAACACACTGAGCAAAGGGCCATGGCTGAAGAAGAAGACTTTTCATATCATGGTGAGAGTGTAACTCAGATCATTTGTATACATAATAGTGCTCTTTATTTATGTTATGTTCCTGCATATTCCCTTATTGTTGGCTCGAGTAATAAATACTTTGCCGCCTTTGTGTGCTCGTTGACAGTAAATTAGTCTTGTTTGCACATAAATATGTCCTCCACTCATGCACACCATACACCACTGGTTTGACTTATTTCCACACCCTATGGTTGATCATTTTGATGCAGATAGTCCTGAGTTCAAATCCCGGACGAGCCCCCGATTGTTTGCTCAAATGGCAACAGCCGAAAGGTGAAAGTCAAAATGAAATAGGGAGCAACAGCTTAGACACATAATGTTTATGGGCTTTATAAGCATAGAAATGTGCCCATTCGACTGGTTCATTTTGTGAGCTGGATAACTTGAAAAATTAGCAATGAGCTGTCTACCATTTTGGTGTGTATTTGGTTTCCTTTGTTGCGGTTTTAACAGTAGTGATTACTGACTATATTGACTTTAGTGACTTGAATACTTTGCACTAAAAAACATTGTTTACTTGCATTCCTTGTTTATTTCTAGGCCAGAAAAACACCCCAAAACTACAAACATTCACTATTCCAATTCTTCAGCAAAGGGGGACATCGACGTACTGCTTGTTGATAAAACTTTGGCATTTAGTGTCTAAGCTTGGCATTTCTGACCAAGATGGGTGTGTGTACGCCGTCTAAATTCTCCACTGGTCTTGGATTCTTTAGGGGTGTTGTTTTTAGATGCTGCTCTTACAAAATGGTTTGAAGCACAAAAAGCTCAACCAGTTTAGGAAGTGATCAACGGATAAAGGATTGTTTGTGGCAACAGGCCCAGGTTCAAGTTCTCATCTTTATACTTTGCCATCTCTCTGCCTACTTGTCTCGTTCCATATCTAACAAAAAGCATAAATACCTCAAAATGTTTTACCACCCATGATGTACGAGAAAATTGTTTTGCAAAGTTTCACACAATCCCTCGCTTGATTTACTGAAGCAAATCTGCTTTGCTTATCTGATAGTCTGTCAGGTTAAAATATATACACAAACAATACGGTGAACATGCAAACGGCTTGATTTATAGTTGAGACCATAAACTTTGTACAGTCTGATTGATGGATGATGACACGTCAGAGTACCAAAGGCCAGGAAAAATCCTGCTTGAGCAAGAAAAATGCCAATATGTCAGAGCAAACTAAATATAACTTTACGAGACCTTTGTGCAAATGCTGCTTAAGAAGAAAAAAAGTACCCACATATATACAACGTTTCTGCATCACGCTTTTGAAGAACAAGGTTTCCTGATTCCTCCATTGACTCAGCAATTATTTTGTGTTGTGTACACAAGGATCAGTCATAGTCAGTAGCTACAAGATGAATCAGTTTTTGTCTGGCTCTGCGCTGTTGTGTATCTGAGGTATTTTTGTGCGTGTGTCTAATCACCACAGGTGATCTCGGCTCAGCAGTTGCCTAAACTCAACAAGGACAAGCAGAAGTCCATCGTAGATCCTTTGGTGAGAATAGAAATCTTTGGCGTCCCAGCAGACAACGCCAGCAAGGAGACGCACTACATCATTAACAATGGTTAGCATGACACATAGTTGTTTTTGTCGTCAAGCATTCTTAGTATGCAAACTCGGAGTATGCAAATGGCTCAACAATCTGTTTCATGCAGGGTTTAACCCAATGTGGAATGAGAAGTTCCAATTTACCATCCATGTTCCGGAGTTGGCCTTGGTGCGGTTTTTGGTGGAGGACTACGACGCAGCATCCCAGAATGACTTCGTCGGGCAGTACTGTCTGCCGTTAACCAACATTCAAATGGGTAAACAAGTCCAGTAACACTAATTAAACTCTGGTTCTCCAATTTTGAAGTCTTTCAAATATCGATCTATAACAGGTTGGATATTGATTGTTTATAAACGTTCCACAGAATCTCCCTTCAAAAGACCTATTTTCTCAAATCACATGACTTCAGTTGTGTTCCCTTTCTGTCACGCAAACACATTTTCATTTGCTGACGAGGCTAAAACTGACTTCCTGTCTTCCAGGGTATCGCCACATCCCATTACTCACCAAGAGGGGCGACGTCATCTCTTCTGCAGGAGTGTTTGTGCACATGATACTCCTGGACGCACAGTAGGCGCTCGCGGGGAAAGTCAACGACATATTTGTTTACAAGGATTGCAAAATATCAGACTTTTGCATTCATCTGTGCAAATGTGCAAAAGTTTCTGCCTCTTTTTATTTGTAACTTTTTAAACTGCTCTGATAGGAGCTACCGTAGTTTAACAAAGCAAGAATGACTAAACGAGTGAGCGAGAGAACAATAAGTGAGACGTCTCTAAAATTATTTAAAAACAGTCAATTAATTGTATTTTGATGTACTACAGAATTGTGATCTGACACTGACTGTAATCTGTTTAGTTTTATATAATGTGTGTATTCCCTTAAGTTTAAACTGTATTTATCTAGTCATATGCTGTAAACCATCCTTTTAAGAGAAACAAGCATTCGGCCATGTTTGTAGTTTTCCCTCTTTGTCCAGCTAGAAATAAAGCATTGTGTTTTATTTACTTAGTAAAATGCCAAAGTGATGCTTATCACATGGGTTTGTTGTAATTGTCTGTTTTATATGGAAATTGTTTTGTTTATTCAGCGAACCATGAATCCATGTCTTTTTAAAGTGACTGCTCTGCCATCTAATTATAATTTTCATCAGGTTTAACCTCCATTTATGACCATTTTTGTGATGACTAGTTATTTCCAAACTCAATAATAAATCCTGATTTACTTCCTGTAGCGTGGTCATGGGATTAATGTTTCTGTTCTATTGTACAATACTTTATGTAACAACTTCTTGCCTCAGTTTGACATATTCTCAGCATTTGCACTAGATCTTGAATAAAAACAGTCTTTTAATGGTTTACTCTTGGCTTCATGTCTTTATTTATTTATGATTCCAAAGCAGATGAAATATGATCTACATAAAATATTTAAAATTACTCATATTTGCAACTTACAATACATAAAACAATGAGTCAGTCATGTTAAACGGATGATTAAATGCAACATTTGTAATTGTTAAAACATTAAAAACATTATTTTTGCTGAACTGTTGCTTTGTTAACAGGCAGTTTCTGGTTTGGATTTCCCAGTACCACATTGAGACTGGTTTGGCAGCTCTTCTGTTAATCCTTCTCAGAAAAGTCCGGCTTTCTTCTTCAGATCAATCTGACGCCATTTGGGCATGCCTAGAAAGTCTGAGCGAGTGACGGTGAGCAGCTTCTCAAAGTCCACATCAGACAGGTAGTCCTGCAGTCAGAGAGGATTTGGTTAGGCTGGCCTCTACTGGACACAATGTGTTCTCGAGAAAGGATAAAACAAAGTAAACAAAGCAGCTTCTTTGGGTCATTTTATTCGATAAATACTGAACATGATATTTTTTTAACTTTCAACATTATCTTTTGTCTATAGTACTGTATTTTACAGACTATAAATCGCACTGAAAATCCTTTAATTTTCTCAAAAATCGACCGAGACTTATAATCCGGTGCGCCTCATCTATTCATTCTGGTTGTGCTTACTGACCTCGAACCGATTTTATGTGGTACAACTGAACAATGGTGGGAATGAGTTGAATAAAGTTTGACTTATCTGACTGTTTTGTTTCGCATAATGTGCCTTATAATTCGGTGCGCCTTATAGTCCGAAAAATACGGTACTTAATTTAATCTACTTGCCTCATGATGTATAGAATTGTTTTGTCTTTTTTGTTACATTGTGGGTTTTTCTATTACTTTTTAAAATTATTCTTCCAGATTTATTGTTTGAATTCTTGTGCACCTCAGGAAGTTCTGCTTTGTGTCATGTTAATAGATTGTTGCCAGTTATGAGTTTTCGCTGTGAAGCACTATAGGCCCTAACATCTAGACGTTCACACAACCGTAAGAAGTAGCACAAATAAAGCTGTTTTGTTTTTGTATTATTATTGCAAATCTTTTAGGGCAGGGGTTCTCAAATGTTATGGGTTCAGGGATCCCTTACAGGGGAGAAAAAGTTTCAGGGACCCCCTCATAACACTCATGTTTATTAAATAATTTTCTTCAATTTGTCTCTTTAATGCAATATAAATATTTGTGTAACATAAATACTTAAATCCTGTTTTTTTATAGTGTTAATACAATTTTTATGCTTTTAAACATGGGTTATTTTTCATTCAAGACACACTTAATGAACAAAATTTTCAATTTCAACTTCCAAAAATTACAGTTTTGAGAAAATGAACAGCATCATAAACCATTTTAAAACTTTACCTATTCACATAATGAACATAATAAATGTATCGCCACTTCTTCAGATTATTACATAAAACTCTACATAAAACTGAACAGAATCATAACAGCAGTAGTAACAGGGATTAATTTGTAAACCGACTGATACCAGAACGCAAATACTGGGTGGGCTGGCAGGGGGTGGGGGTGTCTGGGGGTCCTGCCCCAGAAATTTTGGATAAAGTAATAGGTTGATAAACCGCTACGTTCTTGTTAAAAAAAATAAAAATAATAATAATAATAAATTGCCAAGGGAATGTTTTTATGGTGGCTATTCATCATAAGAAAATAAAAACCTGCAACAATCTCAAAAAACTGAAATGCAAAAATATTTACACTAAATATATATTTGTCTCAAGTCAAAATCCGACATATGAACTAATTTAAATATAGAGTTTTGAAGTCCGTGGGAATGTTGAACTGCAACTATTTAACTTCCTCCACTTGGGTTAGAAATTCTCTAATGAAAGCAAGTTTTATGTTATTTTAATGCAACACACAGATCAGTGATTCTTTTTTGTTTTTTTGGGGGGGGGGGGGGGGGGGGCTCAAAACCCACAAAATGTTTGTGACAAAGACATGACCCCATATTGACGTTTTAATTATACAAAACCTGCTAATAACTCAATTCAACATAACCATAGCAACTCGATAAACAGTGCCGTAACATCATTTTTATTAATATGTAGCTTATGTTGTAACCTTTGAATTTCTTATGGTGTCACAAACAACCATTTTTAAATGTAAGTCATTGTGTGGAGATTATTAAAAACATTATCACTCAGTGTTTGTTGGTCACTGCCCCAACTTTGACAACAGATTCGATAAACGACTGAAGCACTGGTTTAAATGCATTTGAACAGTGTTGTTTTCAATCTCAGGGCTTTGTTGCTGTATTAAATTGAATACAATAGAAAATAATACTGAAGAACTCTTTTTGTCCATCTTTGTACCTTTTAACTTTGTTATTTTCTCCAAATCTGTGACTCTAGACCCACCTCTCTCTGACTGGGGTTCACTCCCTCTGGAAGCTCTTCGGCAGGTGTGTTGATAAGAATTTCAGGGTCCAGACACATCCCACTGCCACCTCCTGATGGGAGCAGGGCTTTATGGCTGGATGTGGGAGTGGAGGGTTTATGTGACAAATCCCCTCCGTGGGCTTTATTCACCGGAACTGAAGAACCAGGTCCTCCAGGAGCCCTATAACCACTCTCATCCATCACAGCAGGTCTTTTACTCGAGTTATTCAGGTCCTTCAGACAAAAAAAAAATAAAAAAGCATTCAGGCTCACAGATTGGCGACAATAAAATGTAGAATTCGATGAATGAAATTTAGTGTAATCAGTTAGGATCAGGGCTGGAGATCACTTACTACAGTGACCTCAGAGATAGATGCTGCTTCATTCAGCTTTGTTTTAATTTCCTCATAGGAGTTTCCTCCCTGTTGAGAAGATCAGCTCAGACTGAGAATTAGTTTGCATGCAGGATCCTCCTCCACATCTTCAAACAACCCATCAAATCATGTAAACTCTCATTTCATTCACATAAGATCATTGGAACATCTGATTTTTGTGGCTCTTTCATACAAACATACATGCTTATGTGATATAAATGGTTAATTCCTTCATTGTGTCAGATTAGCCCTGTTTAACGTCCTCTTGAAAGATCAAGGACTTTAATTAAACTCACGCTCCACTTAAAAGGATCCCACGCTGTAAACCAGCCGGTGAAGGTAAGCGGCTCATTTCCCTGCTTGACGGTGATGATGGGGGCGTCGGGGTCACGGCCTGCCGGGTGGCTCCTCAAGTACTCTTGAGCGCTGTTCATGGACTCTTTGATCTCGTACTCATTGGCTGAGATTCCAACCCACAGGAAAATCTGGGAAGATGTAAAGAACAAGAGATGGATAACTTAAAACACTGAAAAGAGGGCGTCTGCGTTTATTCACAGGAATCCAACTCACCTCCTCCCAGGTGTCCAGCAGCATGACGTCCTCTTCGTCCAGGTCGTTCTGGTCGAAGTTGTAAACCTCGGTCATCCTGAACTGACCCGTCTGATTGGAGCACTCAAACAGACGGGGACTGTGAAGCAGCTCCTCCCTCTCCAACCTAAAACAGAGCACCATAAAACCTTTAATGAAATGTCTACCGTACTTTAGCCATAAACATCGCACCGCCATATAAGTTGCATCTATTATGCGTCACCGCTGACGCGTTGTGTTTGTCATGAAGTAGAACTTTTCCTTAATAAATGCACTTTAACGGTCAAATCAGCTGCATTTTGCCTGGATGGTGCAGCACAATGCAGCTGATTTGACGTTTGTTCCAGGAGTTCTGGAGCAAGACGAAGGTGGCCTGTATGGCAAGCCAAGTGTCTCATTAATAGCCACTTTTATCTATCAATGAGACACTTGGCTTGCCATATTATTCGAGGGCCCTCTAGTGGCTGAAAATGGTAGTGTTCAATATTTTCCATGTCAGAATGAATGAAATGGTCAGATCTCAGCCAAAAACTGGGTTATAAATATGGGAAAAAATATAAATAAGTTGCTTTGCTGTATAAGTCGCAGGGCAGGCTAATTTGTGCAAAAAGGTGCGACTTGTACAGTGGAAAATGCAGTATGTAATCTGCAGGTCTGCAGTGTTAAAACTAACTGGTTTGGTAACAAATCTCCTTAAACTTTGCTAAAATTACACCCCTGAAAGTATCAAACTCGAATTTAAAAGTTAGACATGAGGTACCTCCTGTCACTGGCGTAGGGAGCCTTTCCCCCCAAAGCTACCCAGAAATCAGCTGGCTCCTGGCCCTCCATCACCACCTCCTTATACTGCTTGAACAGCAGATCACACACTTCTGTCGCCATCATCCTCTCATCCCCGCTGCAACCCTGGAGGCAAGCACACACAAATCCGCGTCTTTATTCTTTACATTACGACAATTTCAAGATTTTTCTGCGAGCGTTGCAGCTCTACAACGAGATGCGTACCTTTCCGTACCACAGGTAGCATTTCTGAACGGCGCTCAACACGAACACGTCATTGCTGTTCAGCGATGAGGCCCTTGCCGGCACTTCGATGGCCTTCGTGTTCATCTCTGTAGTTCCTCTCACCTGGAAGAGCCTGGAACTGGTTTGAGGACTAACTACGCCAGGTCGACCTGTTCCGCCCTGGAGATGCACAGATTTCAACACTGATGAAACTCTTTGGGTGCATTTTGTGCCTTTCATTCAGTTATTTGCTAAAAATGCTCACGCACACGAATAATATGAAAAGCGCACCTCGAAAATGATGAGTTTGCCTTTGAATATAGCCAGGAAGTGGCGCGGCTCCTTTCCCATGACCACTCGAACCTGGACAGGGGCTCCATTGTACATGTTGTCAACAGTGACGGCCTGATAGGCGCACGCCGTGATCTCGTCCTTCGTAGCGTGACGACCCTGGTGAAGAATCATCAAAAATAAGTGTTTTGGCTCAGTATGTGCAAGAATAAAAGTAAATATAATTGTATTTATGCTGACCTGCCACATGTAGAGTATGTATTGCTTTTTGTTTGATACTTGATACGTGTACAGCACCAAGTAGCAGTCTCCTCCATAAAACTGCCCATACAGATTTGGCTTCACTTCAGCCAGTTCCAAACTCTCAATGCGCCACACCTGTAGAGATTAAAACAGACATTTGTGGGGTTTAATTCTCTTTTGGAGCAACTTCACAGGTTTTCACCTTTATTTGTGGATTATATTTTAGTTTTCTCTTTTTTGTTTTCCGTACTTTAACTTCTCCTGAACCGTCGTCCACCATGTGTTGCTGTGCTGCCAGTTCAGGCCGGGCGTGGAGCTCCATTACGTCGAACTTCACCTGCTCAACCTTAGCTGTACATGCACCAAAAATATGTATTAACTAGCTTAACAGTGCTAATACATTTAAAGCAATAGCTCAGACTTTTTGAAGTGGGGTTCTGGTAAAAGGTTATGAGCAATGAACATCTTACCTGTTGTAGATAGTTATTTTTTAACAACCCCAGTTTGGAGAGTTTGTGTCATCGTTTAAATCAGATTTTTACTCTTTTTCCCCCAAAACTTGGTCTTTAAATAGCTACATGCACATCTAATATATTATTTGATTTTCTTTTCGACTCACTTAGAAAAATCCAAGCTATTGTTTTAAATGAATAAAATGAAATACAATTTTTTTAAAAATTATTATTCATACAATTTTTCACAGGGTAGAGTTCATTTAAAATAAATCTGCACGATGAGAAACAGTTTTTCAAGCATTTCACCTATTTTTCCAACAGTGTGGGTGCTGCCCAGACCCTTGATTTGCCCCTTTTCTTTCCAGGATTTAAACAGCTGCTTGAACATCGCTGACTCTCCCCCCTCAGACATCACGTCCACAGGGGTGCTGGACGGATAGTTTTTGGCTTTAATAAAACCCTGTTAATGAAGATGAATTAAAACAAAAGTTATTATTGAAATCTGATACTAACAAAGCAAGCTTTATGAGGCGTTGGTCTGACTACTCACCACCGCTGTGTTCAAAGCTTTTTGTCTCTCCTCCTTTGAGGCCTTTTTGCCCTTCCAGACCATCACATTGGAGCCTTTGTGGTCTAAAATGTAACAGTCCTAACAACCAGGGCAGGAAAAGACAATAATTAATGAGACGTGGCTTACTTTACATGAAAAACAACATTTAATATTGGATCAAATTGAATTACGCAGGAGCGAAGCAGATCTTGTGTTAGAGGCTCCGTGGCCACTTCTTTGATCACCATGTTCCCGCTGTCATCAAAAACGCTTCAAGAGAAAAGCAGAACGTGCCGTTTTATTGAATGATCAAACATTTTTCAGAGTTGATGTGACCGGATGCTCTTACTGGTAGAGTTTGACATTGCTGGCCTGCGTCTGGTCGTGGATGTCATCCGGAACAGCTTTCTTCAGCTGGCTGGGCTTCGGGCCGAGCGTTGCGGTCATTAGATTCATCAGCTCTGGCGTGTCTTTCTCACGTCCTCCCTCCACCACAGAGATCTCAGTGCGGCCTCCTCGCTCCCTGTCCCGGATGTCCTGAGCCAACAGGACTGCCTGCAATCACACCACAGAAGTACAAAATCAGAACAAATGTTCAATTTTGCCAAATTCAGATCTTAAAAAACATGTTCCTCTTTCAGTTTTCTCTGAGACTCAACATACTGCAGGTTAGAGAAATTACTCATCAGTGGTAAATATTTATAGCTACAATTAGCAGTTGCTGGCTTTAGCATTTGCTAATTTCAGTGTTGTCTTCACAAATCTGTAACAACTAAAGAAATATACCATCATTCAAGAATTATCATTAAGACTGGAGATGTTATCCACATCAAAACATTATCAAGCAGCTCATAAACCCAACAATAAATATATTTATTGATATAATTCTATACATTTACTGTGAAGGTAGTTTAACAAAACACTTGAGCATTTTAACATGAGCATGATTTTTATTTGTAGCATTTTAAATGGTTTTTTTTTTAAGTTTAATTTAATAAAAAAAAAAGATTACTGTCAAATTCAGTAACATCAAAATTTTTGTCTCAAAATTTGCTTGAACATTTGCTTCCTTCATTTTTTAAATAAAATTAATTACGTTGAACGTTGGTCATTTTGTTAAATAGTTGTTAACAGTTAATAGTTGATAATAGTTAATAGTTGTTAATAGTTGATAATAGTCAAAAGTTTATAATAGTTATTAGTTGTTAATAGTTAACTGTTTATAATAGGTAATTGCTGTTAATAGTCATTAATAGTTGTTAACTGTTAATAGTTGATAATAGGTAATAGTTGTTAATAGCTGATAATAGTTAATAGTTGATTATAGTTAATAGATGTTAATAGTTAATAGATGATAATAGTTAACTGTTGTCAAAAGTTGTTAATAGATGTTAATAGTTAATAGTTGATAATAGTTAATAGTTGTTAATAATAG